GTGTTCATGTTATATTATTGTGTGACTGTTTATTTCATTAGCCTTTGTACAGAAAATGAGGGGTTAAATGCTGGTTGCATGCAGAACAAACACAATGGATCTTTAGTATCAGCAGAGTTTTGAATGGCTTTGATATATCAACAAAGGTGAAATGCCTAACACCCAGGAGGTGTCCAGAGGAGATAAACATGGCAATGGGGAGCAGCCTGGGTGAAGCAGTATGGCATCTTTGGGCAGAGAAGTCTGGAGTCAGAAACCTACTTGGGAGCTTTTGGGAGCTGGAAAGGCTGGAAAAGGAACAGCTGAATAACTTTGGTATCTTAGGAACAGCTGAGTATCTTAGGCTCAGAGCTGTGTAGACTGGATTGGGAATACAGGAAATGCATAACCTTTTGGATGAGAAGTGGGGCCTAGGAAAAAAGGGAGGTTGAAAACCTCTGGATGGGTGGCTTTTGCCTGGGTAAATGCCTTGACTAAAGAGACTGTCTTCTTTGCTGCTTTGTACATTGGATTACACTTGGTCTCCACAACAAGATCCAAAGTTCCTTTTTCAGAGGAAGAACTGGAGGCTAGCTCCTTGAGTTGAAGCCATGGAAAACCATGGAAGGAAACAGACTGAGAGGCTAGGGTCTCGGAGGCCAGGTACAGAAGTGACACTAATTGCATGGTACGCTTGCAAAAAGTGTTCTACAGCCATAACCAAATGGATGATCAGGGCCTACAGAGTGCTGTAAAAATGGCAGATCCTGCTCTAAGATAACCCTGGATAGATGTGGTATCAGACTTTAGTGCTGTGGGTTAGAGCACCATAATGAACATCTGTACCACTTCACATCCCAACTCATGGTAGGTCACATTCTACCAACATTCCATGAAGTATTGCAGCACTCTGCCCACACCCCCTCACACAATGGTGCTCTAGACTTTGCCAGAGCTGGATTCCTGTGCCCAAGCACTGGGGTGGCCCCACCCCCAGGATGTTACTGGCAAGAGTCAGCAAAGCCCCTGTTTCCAACCCTCCTCCACTTCTGGGCATTTGAAAAGATTGCAGCTTTTGATTAAGTGCTGTGCTGATTGAGGATGCCACACCTACATGGGGTGCTTGCTATCCAAGATATTTATCTTGTGCAATGTTGTTTTGAAGCATCTGTATCCAAATCTCAGTCTGTTCAGCTTGACTTATGCTTCTCTGTCAAGGTCATGTACAATGGGAGACTCATTTGCTATTGGTATAAAACACTGTAAGAATAGATTTCAGACCAGATTACTCTGAACAAACATTTCCATTCACCCCACCTGTTGTCTAAATGTAATTCAACACACAAGGCTACAGTACCTGGCATACCAGGTTCTCTATGGGCCCAGAAACCTGGCAACAGGGGAGCAATTAGTCTGTCTTCTTATGTCACTTGGTCTAATGTCCCTGAGAATGGAGGGAATATATATGTGTGTGTGCAAGATGTGCAGTTAAGTATAGTATCAAGCACTTTAGTGCAACAATTTCCTGGATCATACAGGAGCACAATAATCTGCTGGGGCTTATACTGTTGCAAGTGCAGTGTTTCTGAGCACTTTGAAGTTGGTCCCCTATGTTGTTCTGGCTAAACATCTTAAAGTAGGTACTAGGGGTGCACTGATAGAGATTTTTTGGGCTGATACCGATGGCCAATTTTTAGTGAGCTGTATTGAATGATACCAATCTGATTCCAATATGCTGGGCTGCATGGAGAGCAGCATCTGCCTGGTAAACCTGTTGTGAAGGAAGAGGCATGGAGGGGGGGTGCAGATCAAGGCCCCTGTGGTGAAGGAGGGAGTGGGGCTGGTGCTGAGGCAGGGGCAGGTGCTGCCCAGCTGAGGTGGGGCATAGGATGGAGCCATAAGTGACTTGTCTGGGGGAAATGGGGGATGGCTTCCAGCACTGCACGCACCCCTGGGGGGTGCAAAATTTGCTTTAGTCCCCACACCCAGCACTGCCGCCACCTGCCCCGAGTGCAGACTGGCCCAACCCCCCCACCTGGAAGAGCTCAGCTATGCCCTCACTCCAGCCTACAGCAGCAACCCACCCTGCTCCAGATTCAGGGCCACACATTCCCCATGTCCTCCTGGGGGTGAGTGCAGTAGTGGGATCCACCCCTTCACACACCCACAATTGAGCCCCTTGTGTCTCCAATCCATGCCTCACCCTGGCTGTGCAGCATCTGACCCTGCCCCAGCCCCAGCCCCACTCCCTCCCTTATCGTGGGAGCCTCAATCCACCCCCCACCACAAGAGACTTACCAGCCAGACCTGGCTGTTCTTCACGCTGCTGGGCAGCACTCCTGGCTGCCTGTGTGTTGCAATGTGGCTGCGCGCATAGATGGAGCATTTATCGGCAACATTATCAGCCACATCAGCCAAAAAAACCCAATTGCTGATACTGTCAATTTTCCTTATATTGATGCCAATCCAATATGGGACCAATATCAGTGAACCTCTAGCAGCTACCTGTGCAGAGACTTTAATGCTAACCTCCTGAATGTGATGTTTATACGTGAGGCAACAGTCTAATGCGACTCCTTGGTTAACTGTGATATGCTCATGGGGAAGGATGTTTTTCCTTCACTGATATTCACTGTGGTCTTGGCTGGGTGATTGTTCATGTGGAAGACTGATACTGATCTATTGATGATCCTCACTGACCTTGTACCACTCAAACAACTGCCCCCTCCAGCCCCCATACCACTAGCCTGGAACAAAGCTGAGGCACAAGGATTGGTCCCCCCTACTGTTGTTGGGGGTTTATCAGTCTGTATTACACTGAGTGGGGCCATAAATCTAGGGAATTGTCAATAGACTTCCCCATCCTTCAATCTCATGTTGCTTTTCTGAGAGAGAAGAGCATGTTTATGCAGCTCCATCTGACAAAAACTCTAACCCAAACAGACCCTGATATAACCTTGTTGCCCAGGCGTACACAGGGTATGTGCCCCCCCTCTCCAAATTGAAGGGGATTGTCAGTAGGCAAAGGTGCTGTGGGAGGAAACTGTCAACTGCACAGTTTTCCCTCAGTTCTCTATAGAGTCAGGCCAGGACTCAACTGCTTAACTACATACAGGTTTATTAATTAATAAAATTAAGTTATACACACACACACACACACACACACACACACACACACACACACACACACACACAAATAAACACTTATTCAATGGTACGGGACTATATCATATACTTGGCTTATACATTACATAGAACTTCAACCCCCACAGGTAAGTAATGGTTCTGGAACAGTTAAGTATAAGTAAACACAGGTAAATACAGCACATCAACAGGGATAAAGGCAATTAACTATTTACAGTCCATGAAAGAACATTGTCATGTATGCAGTGGAAGTCAAAGATAAGAATACACTTCTTCTCATATAACAGTGAAACCTCTAATAACAAAATCTGAGGCACTCACTCACCCTTCTGGGTGTTCAGGGTGATACTATGCTAGGGTCTCCCCATTCAATGAGAGGAAGCCTGACCACAGATCTGCCAGGGGAAAAGAGGACAATACTCCTGGCCCCTCCAACCCCTAATGGGCTGAGATGGGACCTCTTGGGAGTTCCCTCCCCCACGGGATACCCTTGTTCCCAACACTCACAATACCTGGTGATGTGGGGCTTCTCCGGTTCTGTGGGCTGGGTGCCTCTCCTGGCACAGTGGCTGACCATTGCCTGGGCTTTCTTTCCCAGCTCACAGCCCTGTGCACCAATCTGTGCACCATTTGGCTCTCTCCTTATGGCAGGGATTGGAAGCCCAGGCTGCCTTGTGCAACAATGGGTTTCGATCAGCTCCTGGTCCCACTGGAGGGTGCTGCCACATCAGCAGCCTGGCTGTGTGCCAGGGGTTGGGGACCCAGGCCACCTTGAAGCAGCTCCCAGAGTCCTGGTTCATTATTGGACCCTTCATGCAGTGATCTCTGCACCATGCTCCTGGCTGCCTGCCGGGGTTGCAGACCTGAGCCACCTTGAGTGGTTCCCAGGGTCTGGACTCTGCGCACCAATCTGTTCACTGCTCCCTGGCCACCCGCCCGGGGATACAGACCCAGACTACTGCGAGCAGCCCCAAGGTCTGAGCCCCATGCACCACTCCATGCACCTATGGGGCTGAGGTGTCAGTCCCAGTGAGGGGGGTCTTTGGGACTCTTCTGGGTGCTCCTTCACCCTCTGGGCAGCTCTTCCCCAGCTCCTTTTTCCTTCATCATCTCCCCAATACACCTGCTGTGTGCTGAGCACAGAGCTCCTTTTATTTGCTTTGGAGGCTCCACCCCAAAGTCTTGCTGGACCTGCAAAATACAGGCTTCAATCAGGTCCAGGAGGCTCCTCACCCCTGCCCCCTTCTGCTCAGCCTGTACCTGATTGGTGGGCTGGCTCCAACCAAAATGATTTTTTGAGCCCAGGACATGCCAGGCTGAATCGGTAAGTACACCACACCCTGAAAGCCTTTTTTGAGCCCCACAGCCAAGGTGTAACTAACAGGCAAATCTGCACATCTTTGCTAGCAATTCCCTAGGCACCATTTCTCATAGCATCTATGAATGAGCACCACTGCATGTAAGGCATAGAGGGAAATGGGAGCAAAAAACCCTCAATGCCTCTCTTTCTCTCCTCCTGGAGAACCAGAACCAGCACATACCTCTGGGCCCTGACACTTGGGTTTCTCAATCCTGCTAGCTTTCACAGCAGGGAGATGGAACTCAGGCATCTGGGTTTTCCCAGTTGGGAGGCAGAACACTGGCATATCACAAAATGGTCAATGCCAACTTGTTGAGCAGCTGCATGGTTTCTGGCTCTGGGTGGGGGAAAGGGGTCTAGACAAGTGACTTACCATAAGCCCCTCATTGTCTCCCTTGTCTGCAGACTCCACATTTGTGTGCGGGAGGCCAAGTTCTGGATTCTGAAATGCTGGATTGAGAATGGTTGGCTGGCTTTAGGAGCTCTTCAGTGACTAAAACAAGTTATAGCAGTCCCCAGCAAGCACATCCCTGGAGTGTACTCCCTGTCAGTATACAATTCCTGTTGCTGTGAAGGACTTGACCAGCAGACTAAGTAAAGTAAATTTGGGACAAGCAGTGGACATGCTGAGTCACTTTGAAATATCTGACTTATGCCAGCTTTGTTATTTTTTCCCCCTACGTTTCATTTTCTGTTTTATTGTCTGTTTCCTTGGGATGTAGCCAGTGCACCATAGCAGTGCATTTCCCCCCCCCCCTTTTAGTGCTTGTGGATGCCTTCTTTAAATAGCTAAAGGGTTATCTTGCCTAGTTGTAATACTAAATACATAATAACTAGGGTCTTGTTCTTCAATTACACATTCATGGTGCACTTCTAATATGGAAGAAAGCTCTGGGTAAATTCAATTCTAATTAAAATTTATTTCCAATTGGTATCTTGACATCTGAAAGCCTGCTGTTCAGTGATTTTTTTGTATCAGCCAAGGGAAAGCCACACAGTTTCATGTGACTCCAATGACAGGATGGGGCCAGAGTGCCAAGCTAATCAGACAGGTGAGAATTACCTCAGCCTGGAGGAAATCCCCTGGCAGTGCAACACTCCTTAGTACTCATTAAGGCCATTATATTGTTTTCAGACCATAGCTTCCATTTTTTTTCTGAGTAAATTCACAAACCAGGCAGAATTTAGAGTGAATATAAAGGAGGAGTCTATAAAAGCTAGAGCCTTGCATATTGCAAATAGCCTTTGTGCAGTCAGAAGACCTAGGTCTCTTTATACAACACCACAACTAAGCTCTCAATATACATTTTTGAAAGCTCTGAAATGATGAGTGTTGAACAGTCTTAGGTAATGTGTCATTCTTTGGCCTGACTGAAGTTCCCTATTTCACTGGAAATATTGTTTCTCTTTATATTGGTAAATAGACAAGATAATAGGGAATTACCTTTATGATAATTTCATGTTAATGGAACTAGCTGTATTGCACAACTACTCCTGCAACTGTTCTTCTCTCACAAGCCACCAGCAAGCTTCTAGCTGCTGGACTAGTGCATTGCCTCACTGAAGTCTCATTACCACAGTGCACCACCTTAGGTTAATACCCTAACAGCTTTCAGACTGCAAAGTGTCAAACCCAATGAAGACTGAAGAAGCAATAGGCAAAATTAGAAGCAATTATAACTATGGATCCACTGTGTATTTCTGATTATTACATGCTGATATCATAGCTGCTTAACCTTTTCCCATGGCTGATGATAAACTGATTTGCAGCATAGAAACAGGATCTAGCTAGAAATTCTAGCACACTTTCCCTGATTGCTGGCCATGGAGATATAGGTTAGGCACTGCATACATAGAGATGAAGTCAATAATGAAGTAAGACTCCATATTAACATGTAGGAATTCCAGCGCTATAGATGGTACACAGATTCTCAGTGTGAACTGATTAAGGGATTCATTAAAGATCAGAGAAACCTCCTCTTATGATTATTCTTATACATACGTAATTTGTAACATGGCCCTTTTGCATCAAAATTGCTAAAAACAGGCCACATCTACTGCACAGTCATTTACTAGTATTTGCATACACAAGTACTAAATGACTGCACACTAACTGGAGTTACTGTGCAGTAACATTGCTGAATGGCTTTTAGGTGACTCTAAATGCGCAGTAGTTTGTTAATATCATGCAGGAGCATCACAATAGTGTTGCTACTGCACAGTAGTAACAAGCTACTGCACAGTCAGCATCTCATGTAAACACAGCCACAGATGAGAAAAAAAAAGTCTAAGGCCTAACCTAGAGGTGACACATCTAAATACCATGTTCCCTACCTATATATTTTCAAAAGCAAAAGGAACCACCTATTATACAATTGCCCTTGAGAAGAGAAAGGTGACTTTTAAGAAATGGACAATATGTTAATACTTGCCTATCTTTGATAGAGGTTCTTAAATTTTGATCTTTAAATAAACAAGGTTTGAACTTTTATTATAATTCTTAGAAGATTAGGCTTGTTAAGACTCTTAGCAGTTAAATCTTAAAATACAGTCTTTAAATAAGCTTGTCTTTGCTGACCTGTCACCTTTAAGTTATTTTCAGAAGAATTTGATTAAGCAGCATTAGGTAAGTCTTTTCTTTAAATGGCTTGCAAAATATAATTTTAAATAGGATATTTCTTGAACTTTTTAGCTGCTTTGCTAAAGTGTCTGGATTGTGTTAGTAGGGTAAAGCTGACATCTTCAGGTTCACTAGAGGCTGCATGGTGCTGTAACCCTTAAGCTGCAGTACAAGGGCAACATTGTACATTTAGATCCTGATTAATTTCTGCAGAGCTGTGGTGGTTTTTGGATGGGTCCACAGAGCATGGGAAAGGGACATTGAATCTGACACTGAAAGGATCTATGGTTTTCCCTGCAGTCAGTGCAAGTTATTTGACTGCTGCAGGGCACAGTTAGGACTTTTTGCATTCTTGCTTAATCGTCAATCATGGTTATACACCATCCCTTCTCTTGATCAGTTCTTTGGAATTTTGTACAAAATTTATATCTGTTGTTATCATTTTGTATTTCAGGTCAATTCAAGTTTGCCTGCTACCCTAATTTACAGTAGATGGTACTACCTGTGACTTTTAACACCAAGTACTGGGCAGCAGTTAAATAACCTAGTAACCTCTAGAGTGCCAATGGCTTCAGACAGATGAACACCTTTGGGGTTGAGGGATACTAGCCTAACTCATGGCAGAAGAAATGCCACTAAAAAGTTTTGGAAATGCGGTCTTCTCCATGATAAGAAAGACTCGACTCTTCAACCCTGTTCAGCAGCCAGCAACACAGGTGTGTGGACAACCCAGTGTCTCCATATATATACTGCACAGGCATTTGCACCCTGGAGTAGTCACTCCAGCTTTGCTTTATCTTTCAAGCGAGGATTCAACGTGGAAACAACAGTTATGAGTTATAAATCCAGGCCTTTTAATTAAAGGAGGAATACCATAGGTTGCCTCTTCCAGTGGCAAAGTCTGTTGTAGTTCATTTATCAACTACTGTCTACCTAAAGCCAGTCAGCCCCCAACAAGTAAGGTTGATCTGCCCTGATTTGTCTGTTCCAATAGGTGTTTGGAGCTAAAAGCAAACTCAACAAGAAGATTGCATCACTGCACCAGAATATCAGTACTCTGCATTTCAACATGAAATGTTAGGAAAATATCCTGGCCTGACTAACAATCTCTCTGATGCCTGTAAAACAGCCATGATAGATATGGAATTAAACACTGACACTGCAGCACTAGCAGAAACATGCCTGGCCTTGGATGGTTCCTTAAGAGAAAAGTACTACACATTATTCTGGCAAGGGAAAGTTCCCAAAGAGACATGTGAATATGGCATAGGTTTTGCTGTTAGAAACAATCTTCTCAAGCTGATCCATCAAGTGGCTTTAAAAGTATCTTTATACTCCGCCTTTATACTTCAGGAAGTTCAGTCACCTTAGTGAGTACATACACTCCAACACTCTACTATTCTGCTGAGGCTAAAGACAAGTTTTACAAAGAACTGGCTAGTGTTATTGGCAAGATTCCAGAGATTAGGAACTTGAATCTCCTGCGGGACTTCAATGCTAGTGTTGGTGCTGACAATGAATCCTTGCCAATTGTCTTGCACTCACATAACAGGAAGCATGAAAGATAATGGACAAAGGCTTTAGAATTCTGCTATTATTATAATTTGTGCATCACCAACTCATTCTTTCAAATAAAGCTATGCCATAAGGTATACAAGATCCAGCCACTGGCACCAGTTGGACCTCATCATCGCTAAGTGGTCCAGTCTCAGTAATGTTCTTCTTACTCATACCTATTATAGTGCTGATTCTGAGTACTGGTCACTCAGTGAGTACTGATACCTCATTTGTGGTCACTAGGATCAAACTAAAACCAAAGAAAATCTTTTGCCCTAAGTATCAGTATTTACCACACATTAAAAACACCAGTACATCTGATTCATCAGAAAATCTTGCAGCTCTGGAGGAGGTGGCTTCAGGGTTGCCTTTGTGTGAGACTGAAGATAAAAAAAAAAGATCTATGTCACTGCTGACTCTATATTCAGAAAACAGGTCTGAAGAAATGGGGGTTGGTTCAAGGCACACACACATGAATTTATCAAGACCAAAAAAGCTGCTATGTTAAGTCACAAGAAGTATGCCTCACATGGAACTTGGAAGGAACTGGAAAATGCAAGAATTGTTGTCCAACAAATCTCAGGACATTGTGCCAATGACTATTGGCTGCAACTGTGTCAGGAAATTCAATCCGCATTTGACAATGGGAACATCATAGCCTTGTGTGATGAAATCAAGAAAGTGACAGGTCCAGTTGCAGAGAATTCAGTTCCATTAAAGATAGCATCAAGAGAAGTCATAACCATGGATCCTAGTTTCCATGATAAAAAAAACTAAATTCTGCAATAAAAAACTCCCATAAAAATCCACATTTTTCTGCAGCAACTCCTCTTCCCCCCACCAATGCTGATTGGGTTGCTCCTCAGATGGCCTCACCCCTTGCTGCTGATTGGCCAAGAGGCCTGTCATTCATGCAGCCCTGCCCCTCCACCATTTTGACTGCTTCCCTGTATGCTGGTGGAAACCTGGGAACTAGCATTTTATTTTCAGTATTTTTCCCATAATTCTAAAGATTATAAAAATGCAAATTCTGCATTTTTCTGTGGCAAATGGATTTCTACAATCCCTGGTCACAACAGACTGAAGGTAACAGATGGAAAGATGGATAGAACAGTACCTTGAAATGTATTCAAGGGTAAGTGATGTGACTGACACAGCCCTTAACTTTGAGAGTCTGTCTGTCCTTGAAAAGCTTGATGATATTTCAACTGTTAGGGACCTAAGTAAAGCCATAGATGGTCTGGCCATTTGCAAGGCCCCCAAGAAAAGTCAGCATTCCTGCAGAAGCAATCATGTATGGGAAACCTGTTCTTCCTCACCAATACAAGCTTCTTACTCACTGCTGGACACAAGAGACAATGCCACAAAATATGCACAATGCCAATATAGTCACTCTGTACAAAAATAAAGGTGACTTCAGTAACTGCAACAACTATCATGGAGTTTCACTACTAAGCATTGTTGGAATGATCCTGCTGGAGTGGTGGTCAGAAGACTTTGAATCCTGAGTCACAGTGCAGCTTTGGAGCTAGTAGGTCCACCTTAGATATTTTGCACTCCAAGAAATCCAAGAAAAATGTAAGAAACAAAGGAGACGCCTCTATATCACTTTCATTGATCTGACCAAGGCCTTTGACCTTCTTGGCAGAAAAAAGCTTCTTCAAGTTATTGGAAAAGAGTGGCTGGCCACCAAAAAGATATCAAGGCAATGGATATTGAATAAAACAACTGGAAAAAGATTGCTGAGGACCAAAGTACTTGGAAACAGTCTATTAGTTTGGAATGAAGGCTTTTGAGGCAAGAAGAGCCCAAGGTGCAGGGGAAAAAAGAACCCTCAGGAAGAGCCTTGCAACACATTCAGGACTCTTAGATATGAACTTCACACATGATAAGTGTGGAAGGAGCTGTCATTCAAGAATCAGACTCTACAGCCATTCTCACAGATGTCCAACAAGCTGGTGCCATATTCAGCTCAAATCTATTGTCTCATAAGACACAGGGGTGGCTGTTGACAGATTCCTATTTCATGTTTGCCCTATAATCATTATAACTGATTTTTTTGGAATTTGTCACATATTATTGTGCTGAAAATTTGATCTCTGTAAATAAAACTGAGGTTCCAGATCATTGGTTTCCATTTGTAAATAGGGTTAATAATTTTAGTCTCTGAGTCAAGGGGGAGAATGATGTTGCAAAATGTTTGATATGCTTGGATGAGAGACAACCTGTAAGAGCCAAACATTATTATCCCCACTCTGAATATGTAAATTCTGCAAAATTGGGCTGATTGTCTTTTGAGAACAGGCTATCCTATCACTTTTCTTTAACTTCCTGCTTTTAATCAGGTTAAAAATAGTTCAGCACAAAGTAGCATTCTTACTGTTTTTTTGGTTTTTGTCCTTCAATTTCTTGCAGAGGCATAAGAGGGCATTTTGTTGTTCCTTTAAAAAGACTAACTTAACTTTTCTCAATGTTAAGTCAAAGCCTAGATTGAAGACTCAGATTTGTTTTTATTTTGTCAAACCACTTCAAGTCATATTTGTCAAACAGTCATCTGGTGACAGCCCTCAGCCATTATTATTTTCACTCAGCCAGGGCAAATACTGGAACTTACGTATGTTCCTAAAAGTGTTTGTATTCATGTCTAATTGAATCCTTTTCCTAGATTTAAAACAGTAACTTAGAGTTGAAAGTCTTTGTGTTGTCCCTGGTCCCAGTTTTCTGAGTTGTGGTGTATGCTGTAAACTAACCATTGCTTGTAGAGGGTAGAGAGATCACACAATTTCACCAGAGGAGACATTTTGCTTACCTTGGAGAATTACACACATAGCTGAAATGTGCTAGTTCAGTTTATGTGCAGAATATTTCACACTTTATCTTTGCAGGTCATGCATTGTGGAACAACCCACAAAAGGAAAGCTGCTGGCCATATTTACTTATCAATAAGCAACACCCAGCTCCTCTGAGTATTTCAACTGACTTTTTCTGGGCTCGTTAACTAAGGAAGTAGCCATTATTTAGATTGTTTTATTTACAATAATTACTTAACTTTGTCATTTAGGATTTGCTTAGGGGAGAGATGTGCTATCAATAACAAAAATCTCAAAATACTGCCCATTCTACTTATGCCAACTGTTTATAAACACATCCCTTGCATAAGCACCTTCTGTAAAGGATGCAGCAAAAATTCTGCCTTTAGGAAGTTTGAGTTATTAAGAAGACTGGCACAGCACTAATAAAATCTAAACACTTATAGTCAAATCTTATTCCTGATGCTGCTAAATGGGAACTTACAGCTTAACATAATAGGCAATTTAGCATATAAATGTTCCCCATAAAAGCAGAATGTTGGCACTGCAGAACAATAAATGTTAACCTTCGGGCAAGCTGTTACCAGTGTGCTAAAGGCTCTTGCAATTTTAATGAACCTATTTGTACATATGAGTCTTCTGTACTAAATACCAAAATGCATTTACCCCCTAGTAGGATCTTTCAGGAATTCAGACCTGTGAGATGTAGTCATGAGTAGCTTGTCCAGAAACCTCTTGTTAACTGTCAGTTTTTCAGGAGTGTTGGTTGTAGCCGTGTTGGTCTAAAGATGTAGGCAGACAAGGTTCTTTGGGTAAATCTGATATCTTTTATTAGACCAACTAAAATAGCTGGAAAAATGCTTTTTTGCAAGCTTTTGGGTACAAACACCATTCTTCGGGCAGAGGGTGACTACCCTCCAAAGTGTCTGCAACTTGGTGTCATCCATAAATTTGCTAAGGGTGCACTCAGTCCTATCATCCAAATCATTGAGTGTCATTTTGTATGCTGGCCAAAGCTACTTTCTCAGTTTCTTCCTTGTTACAAAGATCCACTGCTTGTAGGCCTGAGTTTAAATAATCTGAATTTCTAACAATTTGCCAAAAACAGATGTTAGGGTGCCTATACACATGCTCTGCAAGGAAGTAAGTACTGTATAAATTAGTTTTTGAAACAGGGCACTGCTTAGTTCACAAAAGTTATAGACATGTGCCTCAAGTTTGACAAGGACTTCCTTGAGCCTAAACTCTTGAGAACCACTTGTCTACACCTTTGCTTTAATTCTAAGACTAGTGCTGGAAAACAAACCCCACCCACTCACTTCCCCTGCATAGGGCTACTTTTCACATGGGTTTTTTTTGGTATGCTCTTAGGATCTCAGTTTTGGTCTTGGATATATTCCTGAGAGTGGTGCAAAGTGTATTCAGCACCACTCTAACTTTGACCACACTATTGTTTTTTGCATGTGGCAGAATCAAGAAGACAACAAATTCTTGTTTCTTGGCAGGCAGCACTCTTAGACTTACCATGGGGGGATCTCATTCCCTACCCCTGCATGTTCTACCACACATAAAGCTCACCACACTTACTCTGTGCGTGTGCGCACACACACACACGCACACACTGCATATTTCTTCATGTTGTCAAGGCTATAATCAGTCTTTAGCAATATTCAGTGAAGCAGCTTAATGTTTGCAAACCCACTGTTTGCAAAACCATGTAAAACAATCATATATTAACACTTAAAATGTGAAGACATTGGATGCCTTTTTATGTTTTTGCCTGTATTGTTTGTTTTTCCAGCTTCCTTGCAATAGGATTCATGTGACTACAAGAACAGGTAGGATAAAACTCCCAAAAGTTCCCAGAATTGGCACACTGGTGGAATATTTTTTGTTTTATTTTATTTCTTTGTCATTCAGAAGGAAATTCCTTGCAATGATACATAGTGTTACACAGATAATAGAAATGTGCTGCATGGGCATCAGAATATGGTAAAAATGTGTCTCTCCATAACACATTTCTTGACCACACTTGAATGCCACACTTACCCAGACTTAAACCTTTTTAAACAATGTCTTTTCTTCTATGAAATTATATCTGGCCCGTGCACTGTTCCTATACAGTTTGATTGATCATGAAATAATCAGAAACTAAGTTGTCAGCATGGGCCTATAATGCACAATTACATGGCCAAATAAAAAAGATAAATATAATCTTATTTGTTCCTCATTTCTCACAGTGGAAATTGTTTGATACCAGTGTATTTGAACTAGATTTTTAGCTCCTCAGGAAATCACAACTGTAAATCAACTAGCATAATGGTCCTGATTGGCAGTAAACTTCAGCAGGTTTCTTATTCAGGGCAACAAGATAATTCAGAACAATATTCAATTAAGAGGTAAAGTGGCAGAATCTGTCCCATAAACACCATGGCCCTGAACAACACTAAACCTTTGTCTGGAATAAGTTTATTGCTATTTCTTGTTAAGGGTATATTTTCCCAGTGTGTCTGCACTGAAGTCAGGTATGAGACATACCTGAGGTATATGTAGCTCAGTTAGTAATACCAGTATAGCTATGGCAGTGACAGATGTAGCATAAACTGTAAATGAATGCCTCCCCAAGATTACTCGAGTTGTTTGCCTGGGCCATTAAAGCTTCACTGCTTTTCATGCTCAAGCTAGCTACGTGAAAGCTATTGCAGAAGCAGATGCTACGGTTGAAAATAAAGAAATGGAAAGCATGACAAAAGCACCTTCCAGGCCTGGTATTAGTATGGCCCCACCAGTGTCTCTGGGCAAACCTCCTGCCTTGTCCACTGCCACGCCTTGTTGATAAATGACTGGGATGTTAAATAGGTGGGAGGTTGCCCTTCATGCTTCCAAATGACTGTGGGTGATAAGTACATGCTCCTACCTTCGCTACACGTGCCCCATGCCTCACTGATGTCTCACAGTGTGTTCCACATCTGGTTCAAAGCCGGGTCAAACTGGACACATAGTTGTCTCTCCCACGCTGCCTTCTCAGGCCACACACACACACCCCTCTCACAAGAGCCTCTTGCACTCCACTGGCTCTCACCCGTTCTCTTGCATGCTGCCTATCCAGGCCACAATCACTCTGCCTTACTCAAAAATATCCTCAGGCTTTTCTCTCTCTACTCTCCTGTGACCCCCACCTGAATGGGACTGAGTGATTGCTCAACTATGGGCCTACTTCACCCCAGCCCCTCACCAGACCACTACGCTCCTCTCTCAGGCCATGACTCCACCCCTTACCATAGGACCTGGGATCTTCCACCCCTTAGGACTCAGCCACTCCTCCCTGAGCTTATCTGTCCCCACAACTCTGCCCTACAACTCTCAGGGCTTGGGGGTCTTACACCCCCTTGGGCTCAGGTGCTTCTTTTTCAGCATGCCTGGCCCACCTCCAGGGTCCAACACCCGATGGGACTCAGGCACTTCTCAATAAGCTTACCTCCCTCTACCCCTCAACTCTCCTGGTAACCCATCTGAAAGTGGAGGTAGGGGTTTAGGTGCCCCGACCCACCATACACCAGGGTGGTTCTTGGTGCCGATACTTATGTGATCCTGCCCCGCCATAAGCAGGCCCACCAGGCCTCCCTATCCTAGCAGGGTGTGGTTTTAGGTCATGCCCAGGACCACCAGGAGCCTCCAAGCCATCCCCCTAGCTCCTGCCCTTACCTCCCAGATGTTCCTGGAGCCAGAGCTCAGCAGGGCAACTTTTTCTCCCTGCTGACTGATCTCACACTGCTCTGCTCTTAAAACAGAGCTCTCCAAAATGGTCACTGTCCAAAATGGCCACTCTCATCAGCCACCTGGCAGCTCTCTGCTTCAGCCCATAAAGTGACAGACACCCAAAGGGGTGTTCTGTCACAGAAAGGAATAATTGCATTAAAAAGATAAAGGTGATGAATTAAAAAATTACCTCTGTTTGCAGCTGATTCTATTAAAATAAAATAAAGTAAAAATCAGAACTTGGAACCCAAACTTCCCTTCACCTTGAAAAGGAGGTTTATATCACTTTAATATTAATTTAACTTGAATGATTCCTGCCTTATATTATATTATATTATATTATATTATATTATATTATATTGAGATGAATCAGGCTCTTACCCTTCTTATTTGGCACCTATAACTTTCAAACACAGGGAGGTTAAGATTGAAGTTTGTGTTATAATTCAGGTGTACTATTGTTTAAATATGTCCATGGTATTCTCTTCCCATAGGAAGCAAGTGGGGGAAAAATCTTTGCATAAACATGGGGGGGAGCATGTACAATTAAAATAAAAATGATGATTAAAATAGAATGATGTTCACACCCACTTAAACTTTATCTATGAAATGTACAGTTCAGCACCTTTCAATTGGAATATCTTAATTTAACTTAGTCAGATCTAAAGGTGGTAATGGTGGTTTTCTGTTTCCTTTATAGAACATGAATATCATAAAATGGATCATATGAGGGAGAAAGTAATTATGTGTTATTAGAATGACAGCAGAAGTTAAAGAAAAAATGTATGGGGGGCATTTCATGCTTATTGCTATATTTACTTGGGAGGTTAAAATATTCTAACTTCTCACAGGTCTAAACCTTTGAAATTAAGAAATAATCATTGTATTCATGCAGAATGGAAGAGATACGGAATCCAAAGAATTATAGTGTACTTAGGCACCTAAGTCCAATCCTATTCCACCTTATTCAAATCTTGAAAATTCATTAATGCATCTACTTTTGTAGCACACCATCATCTTACCCTCAAGACTGAGTCTCAAAAAAGCAGCAAGGAGGAGGAGAGCCCATCAACCATTTGAGTTAACTTTTTCAAGGAATGCATCAGAGTGGAAGAGAATTGTACATAACTGACTAAGTCCATTTACAAACTATTTACAAATCCATTGCAATAGAATCTGGCCCTTTATTGTTTATTCCTACATAAGTTTAAAAGAACAGGAATGTATTCCTTTGCTGTTTCCACTTACCCTTATACTGTAATACATACCAAAGAACTCTCAAGGGATTTCATGTTGATACTGATTCCCATACTTTGTAGCCAGTTTGTAGTTGATATATTTCCTGTTTTTCCATGGCTATTTTCACCATAATGTGTCACCAGTTGAAGGAATTCTGTGAGGGTAATTGTTCGTTGTGATTTCCTTGCATATAGCACTGTGAAATATTCTGTAAATTAGTGTAATTAATCTGATAACGATAATACAATCCACTTAAAAAAAACACTTGGAGGGACTAAAGATAAAAAAAAAATTCTTTCTTCCTCTTACTAGCCCATTAATTTCATACATGATATTACGGTAATATGACTGACTGTGTTTTCAGACAATGTCATGTATGAAAAGTGACTTCCAACTTTCATAGTTATTCTACAATTTCTGATCTAGCTTCATCCTTCTTTGCTCTTAAAATGTATGCTAATGGTAAAATTCAAACATGCATGGAAATAAGATGTTTTATTAATGTGTTCTATTTCATAATGGAATCTATAAATCATTTACAGAAAAAAATACTCATTAGAGAAACAGATCATATCCTGAATGAAACATATTACTCATAAAATTAGATAGATCATTTAGTGCATCTGATATATCATAAAGTGAATCAGGTACAACCCCTGCTGGATTAAATGTATTACCTGCTGAATCTAGATATGCCACTTCAATCAGATACAACACCTTTTGAGCCAGAAACATCACCTTCTGCATTAGATACATCATCTGCTAAATCTAATACATAGCATACTAAATCAAAGTTACCACCTACTGATTCAAGAACATTGCAATGAAGCTGTCCTTGGGTGCATACATCTTCATGGAAGTCTGCACATGTGTGGTTTCATTATTTGGCAATCATATTCCATCTAAGAGACTCACACTTTTTTCAAAATAATCATTTTTGTGGATAAGTACAGGAGTAGTAGTGAAAAAAATCTCTATAACTTACTGTCAAGTATGTAACCCTAATTGGATAGTTGGGTTAAAAATACTTCAAAATATAATTTTAAAATGATCTGGCTTTAACTCAAAGGAGCTGATAGCCCACAAGTCAAACAGCTCCAATGTATACACTTACAAAACCAAACCAGCATAAATTGTTTAAACAATGAACTTCAGGAATATGTTTGGTTTCTATATGTCCACTATCTGAACCACAAATCCCAAACATAGCAGTAAGTGAAACCACAGACTGGTTATGCAGATTTTGCTATCTTGCTTTGTCTTGCTAGCTGCTGTAGCTCTTGCTTGATTAGGACTTGAACTGATCAAAGCTTCAAGATATATGTGCATAAGGAGAAAAAGGAAAGAAGGAAAGAAAAGTTTGAAAAAGGGAAAAGGAGGGCAAAAGACATGAGTTTTTTTGTTTTTTTTTACCAAATTCCTTTTCAACATTCTTACACCCCATTTTTTCTCTTGTCTTTTGAAAAGATATTAATATCTATTTCTGGCAAATAGGTTGAAACATTCCAAGCAGAATAGCCATAACCAAGTGTGATTAAAAATGCTAGCCCTTTGCCTAGCCAGCCACTGGCCATGCATGCCAGGGTGGACTGCTGGCAGCGCTCAGCATCCCCATCACTAACCTGGCTAGTGGTTAAATGTTAAGCGAATCCACATCTTCTGTTGTCATCCAAGGATTTACATATTACATGGTTAAGGGGAACCATGCAGTATTTATGCATTAGATTTTCAGAACAAATCAGGACAGGATCTCTGCAACCAAGAGAGTTATTATGGTGTTATGTGTATCAGTACTCAGCATACCTTTGATTGGTTGAGATAATTTAGGTTCAGTATAATTAGATATCATGTTTTCACCATGTCAATTTTTAGTTTTTAATTATCAATTTAGCAATTTATGTTAACACATTTTACTTATGTACACTGTAGAAACTGTATGGCGTAGAACAGGTAAATTGTAGGGGATTACAGCAATTACAGCAACACTTCTGCTTAACTGTATTTCAAACAAACTTCAAGGAGAATTACTTTCACTTGCATATTTAGTGGAAAATTTGGTCTATGGCTATTAGTTCGTTGAGTTCTTTACATAGATTACAGGGTATTATCGAAAGAAAAATGTAGAAAAAATTCAAAGCTTGAAGAGACTCAAAGCTATCTGTGAAGCAAGTGGGCAGGTACAGTGCTGGGGGTGGGGAATCTTCCCCCTTCTCTTCTGATCTCTGCCCACTGTCTCCATTGGACAGGGAAAGGGGGTTCTGTGTAGCACTGCCCATCCTGGCTTGGCCCAGCCAGGGAGCAGAGAATGGCTGTAAGTGAGCTGCAGCTGCCAGGAGTGGGCCTGCCCCAGTGACCTGGGCCAGCTATGCTCAGCCCTAACTGAGGCAGCCACATGGTGAGGCTGGGCCAGCCATGGGAGAAGGGCCATTCTGGTGGGTGCAGCTTAGTCACAGGATGGTACAGTGTGTATGTGTGTGCTTGGGGTACCTGGGATACTTGGGGGAAGGTTCAGGTGAGAGAGAGAGTTGAAGTATAGGGAGTGAAAGTTGCCAGAACCAGGATTAGAACCAGTGGACTACAGAGAAGCTGGCTGAGGAACTGAGGCTTGGGTTTACTTAAGGTAGACTGGGGCTAGAAATTGAGGTAAACAGCTGAGATATTGTGGGGGGTGTAGATAAGTGGTGGCAAGGAGGAGACAGCCAGGAAACAAACTGAGGCAGAAACCTGGTTGCTCAGGGGAAAAGGAAAAGGCAGTGGGTATATATTAGTGGCAAAGATACAGGGGGTTTGGAGGCAGAGAGGAGCTCAGTACAAGTGTTGGAGGTGGCAGTGAGCCAGAAGCAGGAGAGGGAGAAGTGAGACAGAAGTTAGAGGGGCAAGGAGCAGAGATTGGAGCAGGGTCAAACCATAGTAAAGCAAAACCCAACTTCGGGGTCCAAATAACAGTTTTATTACACAGACAACACACTACACAGCCCCATGAAGTTACTGGTTCACACACACACAAACACACATACACACACAAGCACTCACAATGGCAGCAGGAGAAAGAAACTCAGTGGAAGGCCTGAAGTCCAGGTAGGGAACAGAAGCAGAGTCCAAGTCCTAATGGTTGAAGAGGGGCTGGGGGGAGTGATATCCAGCTGGAAATGGGTCCTTGTCCAGTAGGTGTTGTACAGAGGGGGGTTACCAGTAGGGCCTCTAGGTGGATTGGTGGTATGTCATGGTGCTGGTTCAGATGGAGAGGGCATCCCACCGAGTCTGTCTTCACTGCCCCTTTTTATAGGGACAGACCTTGTTTGACCCTAGTGACAGGAGGCATGCCCAGGCAAGGGTCAGCCCCTGGAGTACTGATCATGTGTGCTCCATGCAGGGATGTGCATTTTTGGGTGTCTGTAATGGTGGGAGTTGCCGGCTCTGCAGGGTCTTTTGTCTTTCAAATGCTGGGTTCTTGTCTCTGTTCCTGGGTGAGGTCTGTGGTTCCTGGATAAATCAATGCAAGGTGATGACCCAGTCATTAAAGGCCATTTAGTAGAGGCCTGCTACCATTGTATTTCAATCATTCCCAATTACTCTCATTCATCCGGGAACTAATTTACGTGGGAGGGATACATGACTCATACAGTTGCAACACAGGAGATTCCCAGGCAGAGGACACAAGATGGAGACTTGACATACAAAATGGAAACTTGACATGACTTTGGTTCACTTACAAACAGAAGCCTAAACCATACAATATTTATATGAAACAATAAAAATCGATACGAAAATTATAATAATACAATATACAACAGTAAGAATCAATACAAACCTAATAATAATATGCAACCGGCAGACCTTGAACATGAGGTTTCACGCTGCTCAGCCTCTGGCGTACGGACCTGTTGGCCGCTTTGTCCCTGGAATTGTCTATTCTCGGATTGATCTTAACGGTAGTCTCCGCCCCTATCTCTCCTGCCACGACTTTGCTGGAACCTTCAGTGGAGAGGCCGACTACTTCAACTTATCCGGGGTTGGGACTCCCAGGGGCGATGGTCTTCTGTGAGGCTCCACCCTCCCCTACACCTCACCCTAAAACCCAGCCACGCTGAGTTGCTGACGATTCCCGGACCCGTCCCTTGCTTTGCGATGCCGAAAGATATTTGGTGGCGACTCCGTCAGCTTGGCTTGACTCTAGACCCTGTTGGTCAGGACTCTTTCTGAGGTTCCCCCCACAGACCTCCAACCATAGGTTACTCAGCAAAAAAACTCCCAAAAGAAAAACACCACCCGTAAGTCTCTCGGGCTTACAAATTAAAGTCAGGACTCCCTGTCCAGAGAGAAACCTCCCCTGGCTTAATTCTCTCTGCAGCACCCCTCTGGCTGGATGCTGTGTTTTCTTAATAATTACTCAGGACTACTTCCCGGCACTCTGGTTCCCCTCTTTGCTCGGTCCCTTGCAGAGTGGTCCCACCTAGCAGAATCCAGGACTCTGCAGCCCCTCCTGCTGCTTATATTATGGTTTCCTGCCGGGATGAACTCTGGGGTGATCCCCTAGCCTGTGCTGCTCCCACCTGGACTGCCGGGTCTTCCTCCATTCCCCTCTCTTCAGGGCGTCTCTTAGCCCCGGCCTCTGTCCCCGGATCCTTGTGCCCAGCTCCGCCGCCGCAAACCTGGGCATCCGCCACTTTTCCCTCGGTGCTCTCTTTCCCGCAGTTGGGGAATGTGTTCCAGCCTCCTAGCTGGCTGCTGGCCTCTCCCTCACCTCCGAGCGAGGACTCAGGCTTGTCTCCCCTCCTGGCTGGTCTCCAGCTCTCCTCTCCCTCCTCTTCCCTTGGGGTGTCCTTTATCGCCCTGTGCTGGCTCCAATCATTATTGATCGCAGCTGGCTGCAGTTTTAAAAAGACTCAGCTAATCAGCCGCGTGGGTCCCGGCGCCACTTCTGACGTTCCCGTGTCGTTGGCTGCAGGTAAGGAACTCTTTGTTGTCTTTCTTCCCTTCTCTCTCTCCCCTGCCTTATTTCAGGTCCCGGGGCACCCCTTTTCCCCTTCGGGGCCATATTGTGCCGTCCCCCTGTGACATAATACAATATAAAACAGTGGATATCCAAAACCAAAATTTGCTACCAAAATAAAAAAGTGAAAGCTTATCCTAAGTATGAGCTCACTTATGCTTGTCTATAGGGAATAGAGAGGGAGAGAAAGAAAAGCCAGAAATAATTGGGGAAGGGTAGGGAATGCATATCTATCATATATATATATATTTTAAAGAAAAACATGGGGTTTTTGCTACACCCTTATTTTACTTCCTCTTTCTCTGCAGGGAAGTAAGCCAAGCCATTGAAAGTAAGGCCATAGCCCAGCTTCCCAGTCGAAACTCAAAATGTTTTGAATTTTTTAAAATGTTTTGACCTTCCCTGTTTTTTGACCTTGCATGTTCTATTTAGACTTTGCTGTTTCAAGGTTGAAATGGCTCAAAACAACATTGAAACAAAACGGGCAGCAAAATTTTGCACAGTCCTAATGCACAACTGTTTTAAGAGCAAGGACTGGATTGCCACTTCAGGCTACACATCACCTCCTATTACTTAGGTAACATTATGCAAAGTTACCCTATTTATAAACAGGTTCTATTGTTACACAGTTGGCCCTCTAGGTGTGACAGAAACAATGTCAACTGTTTTGATGCTTCTCTTCAGGATACTCACCTTATACAACTTTTACTGATAGTTATGTACATCTAATTGTAGAATATTACTGAGCAATTCCTTCATTACTTCGTTTATTTCTCTCTCATTACAAGGACATTGTAACATGTTTGTTTAGTTTTAATAGAGCTTGGTACCTGACAAAACCAAAGAAAAGTTTTATTGCAGTATGCATAAATGATTCAGTTATTTACATAACTGCAACATTATCATAATGGTCCAAAGCTCCCTTCCTGAGGGAAAGCACGTGAAAGGAACAAAAGATACTTTACAGAGGTGACACAACAAAGGTAGACAAAGGAAACATCATTCCACATTGCAAACAGGCAACTTTTTTCTCTGGATTCCCTGAACTCCTCACCAGTGAGGAAGAGGCAGGGTAGAAGATGGTAAATTAAATAGGTCATTGGGTTTTTTTTACTGTTTTTTCTGATTAATTAATTGGGTATTGGACTTGGTATTTGGGCATTATTGGGTACTTGGTAACTTTAATACAAATCAAAATATTTAACAGGTTAAACCACAAAAACAAATTCATTTGAGTGCATCCATGTTTACATTGTTGAAGTGCTTTAAATAAGCAATGCTGTCATATTTTAAGTTCTTCTATCTAACCAGTGTTAAAAGGGCTCTTCAGACACAACAGTGCTACACTGCATATTTGATACTTTTTGGGATAGTTAGTACTTTCCAATTTCAATCTATAATTTTAATTCCACAACGAAAATATGAACTATTAGTAGAAGAATATATGTGCTGAAAGTATTGACTTATTTGCTTTGTAGACACCATGTTTTTCGCACTTTCTAACACTGCAGCTGCATGACTGTTTGCATGCACACGTTTTCCAGACACTTTAAAAGACTTTCTGGTGCATTCACCTAAAACTCCTCAGACATAATATAGTTTGGCTCACCAGGAATTAAAGCATCACATCCATGGCTTCATTGTGTGCAAATGCAAAGGCACTCAAAGATGTATAATGAGCCTCTTTGTCCACCAGATGGCACTACAACTTTTTTGTCGTTCATCCCTTGGATTCCTCTCACTTTGGCTGGCTCCCTGTTTCCACAGCAGCGTGGCAGGACACAGGCATGGGTTGGGTGGGGGGCACTGGACAGGGGGTGGGAGGCAGTGTTGGACTGTCCCACTGTCCTGCAGCACCGGCCAGGGACCCAACTTAATTCATTCAAAAACCTACTGTGTGTAAACACAGATATAGTGATCCAAAATGAATAAGTTTAAATTTTATAAACATATTTAATTTAATGAGGATTAAAACCTGTGATGTGTACAAGCATCGCTAGAGAGCTATTTATTTCAATGGCAGTTTCCACATTTCAAAACTAATGTCCTCTCATGTTAGAGAAAAGATTGAAAACAGTCTTATAGCTGTAGTCTTAACTGTTACCAAACTACTGACTTTAGTTTCCATCATGCGTGCTTCTTCCTGAGTCACAGTTAGCTCTATGTTTATCTCTTTCTTTAACCTTACCTCGATCCTGGGTAAGCTTTGTGAGAGAATTATCCTGGTGCATGTCTGCAAGGGGCCAGCAG